CAGCTCTCTGCAATCAGGGCCACATCTTTCTTTTCCTTTTGAGACGGGATCTCACTCTGTTGCCCAGGCTGGAGTGCAGGGGCATGATCTCGGCTCACTGCAACCTCCACTTCCCAGGCTCAAGCAATTCTCCAGCCTCAGCTTCCCTAGTAGCTGGGACTACAGGTACGCATCTCGATGCCCAGCTAACCTTTGTATTTTTTTGTAGAGACAGGGTTTCGCCACGTTGTCCAGGCTGGTCTCGAACTCCTGAGCTCAAAGTGATCTGCCTGCCTCAGCCTCCCAAAGTGCTGGGATTACAGGCATGAGCCACCGCGCCCGGCCTGGGGCCATTCCTTTCTAATACTACATGAGATGGGGCTGCGTTTAAACACAAAGCTGCTCCCTGGAAGTCACGGTGCAGAAGCTGGGAAGGTTTGGGCAGATTTTGTTCCTGATGGCAGAAAAAACTGTCACAAGCAAGACTGGCCCAAGTGGTCACGTGGGTTGGTGTCACTCACAATTAAAGAGGAAAACTCCCCACGCATTGCGTTTGACCAGTGTGCACCAGCACCGCCTGGAACTTGTGAGAAGTGCAAATTCTCAGGCCCCAGCCAGATCTACCCAATCAGAAACTCTGGAGTCGGGCTCGAAATCCTTGCCTTAACTAGTGCTCGGGGGTGAGAAACACCGCCTTGAGGCATTAGGTTTAACGCTTTGAACCTTAGCCCTTAGTACCAGTTACTACCTCTCTCCTCTACTGACTTAGCCACTGCAGTGGGCGAATGGCCTCCCTAAACCTCAGCCCACACTGCGTTCCGCTCCTTCCCCTCTCCATCCTCTCACTGCCTCTTCTTTTCTTCCCAGCCTTTCCACCGTGAGCTCTGATCCTCAAGGCATTCTAAACAAACTCTCCTATATCTTCCAACCCTTCACAGAACACTCACTCTGCATCTTTAACTTACACCAGGTCCTGGGCCCTCGGCCCTCCTGCAGGGCCTGCCAAGCCCCTCGCCCCACAGAGCTGGGGAAGATGGGAAAGCTACCTTCCTGCCTCCCGGATCCTGCTTCCAGACCTTTCCAGTTTCTCCTTGCGATAGCAAACCACTGGATGTTTTGAAGAAAATGCTTATAATAATTGAAAAAAACACACAGAATAAGATCCTATGTATGAAAACACGCCACACATATATACAGAAAAAGTGAATATACCGAGATTGTTAATAGTAGCCATTTCTAGATGGTGAGACGATGTACAACTTTTGCTTGATTTTAGACTTTGCAAAGTGACTACAATAAACATTATTTTAGTGGCTGTTCTCTTAAACAACCTTCACCTCACCTTATTGACTTCCGGGACTTACAACGACCTTCTCCTTTCTCTCGGTGAAACCTGATTGCTGACTTACTCCCTGGCTGCCCTTGAACTTCTGCTCCTGCCAGTTGAACCTAATGTTTCACAGGGGTCAGGTGTGTTTACTCGCCAACCAGTTTATTTAAGTTGTACTTGGTGCTATGTTCCATAACTTATTTAAACATCACACTTGTGAAATATGACTGTATAAAGCAAGAGTTTTTATGAAAACTAAGTTGAATGCTTTGAAAGACTCAAGTTTGAGTTGGAAAAAAAATGCTGTTGGCAAGACAACTGTGAAAGGTGAGGGAAGAGCGTGAAATGCTGGAAAGATTCTGTGTGTGCACTGCTCATAAGATCTTAATCCACTGTCTCAGTCAATGCAGGCTCCTAGAGCAAAGGACCACAGACGGGGTGACTTATTGAAGAGGTACTTGTCACAGTTCGGAAGGCCGGAAGCCTGAGGATCAGGGTGCAGTACAGGGGGTTCTAGCGGGGCCCTCTTCCAGACTGCCGACAGTTGGCTTCTTGTTGTACCCCCAACACGGCAGAAAGAGGGTAAGAGAGCGCTCTGGAGCCCTTTTAATACAGTCACTCTTCCAAACATTAGGGCTCCAGCCTCATCACTTAATTACCTCTTACAAGCTCCAACTCCAAATATCATCACACTGGGCACTATGGTTGCAACACATGTACTTGGAGAAACACAAATATTCAGTCCACTGCATCTACTTTAAAGGAACCAAAATGGCCCGAGCACGGTGGCTCAATCCTGTTATCCCAACACTCTGGGAGGCTCAGGCGAGAGGACGGCTTGAGTCCAGGAGTTCAAGATCAGCCTGGGCAACATAGTGGAGCCCTATCTCTACAAAAAAAAAAAAAAAAGCATAAAAAAAGAAGGCACAACGCAAAATTGCAGGTAAAGCTTTAAAGGTATATAGTTTTTATAACAAGTGAGGAAGATTTGAAGTTAGTGAATGTACACTCAAAGAAAAGGCCTGGCCTTCTTCCAGAAGTCCAGTGAGTAAATGTACATTTACGTTTTAACTTAAAATGAAACATAAATATTATGCTTTCACCTACTTTTTCTTTTTAATCAGTCTACTTGTATAGAACTGTTATTCTGAATTTTCACAATCAGAAGGAAGAAAAACACCCCAAGCCATAAATATTTAAAACTACACTCACCTTCCAGTTCATGGTAGACTGTGAATTCACTCCTGATCAACACAAACCCCCAACAGACAAGTACATGAGAGGCAGCTGGAAGGTCAAGTCCAGGGAGCTGGAAGGTCTGATCTGGGCAGGAAGAAACAGGACAGTTTGGAGTTCCTAGGGCAGACCAGCTTAGAAAGGTGTCTCTCTGATGGAGAGAGGGCATGTGAACAGAAAGCCAACTCCGCAGAGAGGTGGGCTGTGTCCTTGACAAGGCGACTGAGAGACTGGTGGGAAGTGGATGGGCTGGGCGAGGGCCCAGAAAGGCCTGGCCCTTGCTGAGCAGAAAGCTCTCCTCAGCAGCTCTCTGTAGCCCCCAGCAGCACAGCATCTCTCCTGAGGGAACATGGGCTCCCATCCCATTCATCTGTGGACCTAAGAGCCCAAGTCTAAAATCCGTCCCTCCACCTGCCTCCAGACCGAAACACAAGCTCGTTTGGGAGTGAGTGTCTTTGTCAAGTCCTCTGAGTGTCAATTAAGTTCAATTTGGTTTTTCGAAGATGATCTGGGAGCAAGGGAATAAGGGATAGGGCAGAAAAACTGTCGGATGCAATTCAGATGCAGAATCCTCTCTAAAGCTTGAGGGAGACCTAGTAGAAGATGGGGAAGGAAGTGATATCAGAGAGGATGGTGAATTGTGAATTCTGGAGTTGCAGAATTGTTCTTTAGATTCTGATTTTTTAAATGACAGCACTTTGGTTCAGAGGGTTAATGACTTACCCCAGGTCATACGCCACACCGTGGCATATGGAAGGAAGAAGGCAGGGCCGGCAGCCCAAGCCTTGGGATTCCCTCCAAGGTCTTGTAGGTCACTACTCTTAGAATATGACACGTACCCCAAGAAGACTTGAGCTCTGGATGAAGAACCTACACCCTCTGGTAAGTGACTTTCCGCTGGGGCTTCAGTCCCATCTGTAGGTGAAGAAAGGCGTCAAGCAGATCGTGTTCACTGCCCCTACGTTTTCTGAAATTCAGTGCTTTATAGCACAATAATCATAGCTTAACTTTTTTGTGTCAGAGACAAAAAGGTGGCTAAAGTGCTTAGACGGGTTAAGGCATTTAGCCCTCACAACTACCCCATGAGACAGCTTATTGCCTCCACTTTAGAGCGGAGGACATAAAATTTAAGTAACACAGCGAGGGTCTCACAGGGGGGCTGGGATTCGAACCCATCCAGTCTGGCTCCAGGGCTCTAACCTTGGCACTATCCTGACACAGGCCGAGAGCTTTGCATTCAAAAGTCAGGGAAACACTTCTCCTGAAGTGTACTTACCGTCATAATTAAGAAAAGTGGCTGAAAATGTCAGAGGCCTTTAGAACGGGGATAAGATGAACTTCAGGCAAGATGTTTTTTAAAAATCTTTCAATTACAAAGATCTCCCATCTATTCAAGATTATAATATCTTGAAAATAAGCTAGCAGTTGGCACAAGGTAGCCAAGTTTTCCCCATGACTTCTTCAAAGTCAGATAAGGTAGCGATAGGAATTTAAATCGTAGCTCTGTTTAACTGTAATGATGGTGGCTGGACGTGCTCGTTACCTTCATGTGTAAATGGCCCACTTGTCTTTAAAGAGCAGCAGATTCTGACCTGCCCTAAAGAAATATGCTCCTAACATGCTATAACCTGTTGCTACAATTTTCACTTTGAGTATTTCTGATAATCTTAGTGAATAGCTATGTTGTATATTAAAATGTTAAAGGTCTTACAAATTTTATTTTTACAATTTCTGCTTTAATTGAGTTGTATACAGATATAGTAGATGAGTCTGGCTGTTCCCTGAAAATTTTCTGAGACAAAACTGCATACCCAGTGAATTGATGTACGTAGAATATTGATTCCCAAAGTCAAGAACGAGAAATAGGTCCAACGATCTTACAGGAGGAAATGAATGAAAAACCATCCAGCGGTCTGGCCCTCTGGAAAACATGTGCTATGTGCACTAGCAGTGTGACCTTGGACAAGTCACTTGGCCTCTCTCAGCCTCAACTTGCCCGTCTGTAAATTCTCTTGCAGATTAGACTGTAAACACTAAGCACCATGGCCAACACATAGAAAGCACTGAATGTCAGCCATTCTTGTTATGTTAAATCTCTCTCCTTCCATGACTGGACACGCCAAGCTGAAGGATATAGGCTAGTGACATCCAGGGCAAAATGCAGTCATTCCAAGACAGCAGGGCAGGGAATAAAGATCAGTAGCCTGAGGACCAGGAGAACCGGAGATCTGAGCTCTACTCTTGGTGGCACCCATGGAGTGGCATATGACCTGGGGTAAGTCATTAACCCTCTGAACCAAAGTGCTGTCATTTAAAAAATCAGAATCTAAAGAACAATTCTGCAACTCTGGAATTCACAATTCACCATCCTCTCTGATATCACAGAACCTGACTGCCAAAATATACTGGCAGCTGCCTCAACTTCATACCTGGAGTGATAAAATTCAAGCTCTTTAGGAAAGAAACATATTTAGAGTCAATCTGCAATAGCAGCAGAAGGGCTGTAGTGAGGTGGGAGTCAAGAGGGTGAACCACGCTGATCTGCCCTGCTCATTTCCACCCACTCCCTCTGAATTACCACTTTTCCCCACCTCCCTTCAATTACCTGCCCAAGCCAGCCATTTTCATAGAGCCTTTGGCAAATGAGAAGAAAAAAGCTAAAAGTATCAGTAAGCTATTTGCTCTGCTGCCATATGTACACCCGATGCAATATTAGAAAACAGGCAGCTGGTATCTGAGGGTTGAACTGCAAAAGCCAACAAGGTGAGGACGTTTTTGAGGGGCATAAAATCTATGAAGTGCGGGAAATTTTTAACTTTCCCTGGAACTATCCACGATCTTAGCTTAAAACACAAAAGTAACAAGTGGCTTAGATACAACTCCAAATATTTCTATTTCCTTCACTGCAAGAATACCCTGTCTTCCTTTGTCAGGTTTCTCTTAGAAACAAAAAAGCTATTCGCTTATTTTGATTAGACCAACTAAAGCAATATGGATAATGTGTCGTCCACAATCTATTAATACCTTTTCTTCTTGGCACACCTAACAAATTCAAGGGTCAGTCTACTGCTTGCTGTCTCCTTCCAGTCACTAATCACGCTGCGCCCTCTGTCTGAACTTTCTGAAACTGTTCTTATTCCCGGTCTCTACCCTTTTCACCCAACCCTTCACCCAATCATAAGGAGGGGTAGGTCCAGGGAGGGGGCTGCCAGGTGAACCTTGGGCATGACTTGGCCCTCTACACGGGGGCCTTGACCTTCAAGAAACCAGCCCTGCCCGATCTCAGCTGCCCAGACTCCACAACTCAACATTTCAGGGATCCGCCAAGAAGCGATGACAGGTGTCTACGTCTCTCCCTGCTGGAAGTCCAGGCCCCAGAGGGCAACGTCGGTGC